ATGCAATAGAAAAAAAAGCTTGCAGATTGAGTGCAAGAAAAAACATCCAGTGAAAGTTGAAAACAACATTCTGGCTGGCAGTAAAATTGCACAGCTGGTGCCATTTGGGGAATAAAAAGGAAAAAATATTTTTGAAGCCTAGTGATTTTTTTAGAAGGCTCTCAAAAAAAAAAACCCTCCAGTTTCTTAAAAATAATTTTTGTTAACTTGAAGCCTCATGCTCTCTGTTTTCCCCATAGACTTAATGATTCCAGTCACTATTTCAAGGGGATTTTTATTTCAGAACTTGAAAAAAATATACTGAAAATCATATAGTATGATTAGGTGAGAATAGAAAGCAATGCAGGGAAAAAAGCCCTATCAATAATTCAAATATATTATAGAATAACAATAATCTGGCCAGGCGCAGTGGCTCATGCCTGTAATCCTAGCACTCTGGGAGGCAAAGGTAGGAGGATCCCTTGAGATCAGAAGTTCAAGACCAGCCTGAGCAAGAGTAAAACCCCATCAACACAAAAAATAGGAAAATTAGCCAGACATACTAGCACACTTGTAGTCCCAGCTACTTGAGAGGCTGAAGCAGTAGGATTGCTTGAGCTCAGAAATTTGAGGTTGTGGTGAGCTATGATGATGCCACTGCATTCTAGGGTGACAGAGCAAGACTCTGTTTCCAAAAAAAAAAAAGAAAAGAAAAGAAAAGAAAGAATAACAATAATCTTAAAAGCTTGGTGGTAACATTGGAATTAAAGACCATTAACCAAATAAAAGGAGCATAGAAACAGACTTTGTTTTAGGATTTAATATAAAATGAAGGAGAAATCACAAATCAATACAAAGAAGAAAATATTAAAGAAATAATGGCAATTTATAAATTTTAGGGAAAGAAATCAATTTAAATGTTCACCTCACCGTATAGTCCCAAATAAAACCCAGATAGATTGACTATTAGAATCTTAAGGAATTGAAACCAAAGGAGAAAGGGTAAGAAAGTAAAAATTTGTCAAACATCTGATGAAACTTACTAAACGCACAAGTAACATAATATTGACGATATAAAAATTCTATATGTATACACCTAAGAAAAACTAAAATGTAAAAGAAAATAACAAACTGGAGAAAGAAAATTAAAAGGAAAGATGACCAAAAAGGGGGGTATTACTTTATAGAAAGTTCATACAAATCAATAAGAAAACTGCAAATGAGCAAATGATATCAGGTAGTAATTGTCTAATGAAGAAATAAAAATAGCCAATAAAAATTTAGAAAATGTCCTCACAACTATTTAAAGAAATGCTGTAATTTAACAATAATACTTGGACACCAGAAACCAAGATAAAATTTGTGGTGGACACTTACTTTGGAATCCCCCAATGAACATGCCTTCCCATACTCGTTCTCTGTGCAGCCTTCTCCTACATTGACTCTGGGCTCAGCCATGTGACTTGCTTTGGCCTATTAGACATTAGCAACAGTGATGTAAGCAGAGGCTTGATAAGGATTTGAATGTCAGGACTTGCTATAGTCTGAATGTTGGTATCCTTCCAAAATTCGTCTGTTCAAACTTAACCCTTAATGTGATAATATTAAGAGGTGGTTCCTTTAGGACAGGAGTCCTCAAACTTTTTAAACAGGGGGCCAGTTCACTGTCCCTCAGATCATTGGAGGGCCGGACTATAGTTAAAAAAAAACTATGAACAAATTCCTATGCACACTGCACATATCTTATTTTGAAGTAAAAAAACAAACGGGCAAAAACACCCTCATGTGGCCCGCAGACCCTAGTTTGAGGACGCCTGCTTTAGGTGGTAGTTAAGTCATGAATGAGATTATGAATGGAATTAATGTCCTTATAAAAGAAACTTGAAGGAGCCCTTAGCCCCTTCCACCATGTGAAGACACATAGAAAGTGCCATCTATGAGAAACTGTCCCTACCAAACACTGAATCTGCTGGCCCCTTGGTCTCCAACTTCCCAATCTGTAGAACTGTGAGAAATAAATTCTCATTTATAAGTTACCCAATCTAAGATATTTTGTTATAGCAGCTCAACCAGACTAAGACAGGACTTGTCTTCTTGGAACACTCCCTCTTGGAAGTCTCCTGGAAAGAAAATGATTAGAGGCTGTGTTGAGAGAGACACTGGAGGGTGAGAGGCCATCTTGAATGCTGTCTCCCTGGGCTAAATTCCCAGATGAATGAAGCTACATGAGGGATCTCGGCTATATGATGTAAAACAGAACGTCCCAGTCAGCTCGCAGAAGAGTGAGAAATAATAAATCATTGTTTTTTTAAGTCATGAAGTTTTGGGATAGTTTGTTGCAGAGTAGTAGAATACTAAAACAATATATTTTTTTCCATATCACTAAAACAAAAAAATAATGAAAAGATACCAAGTTCTGATGGGAGAGTAAATTGGTACAGTATGACAATTTTAGGAAGTAATTTGGCAATATTAGCTTCAACAACTGTTAAAGTTGAACACACTGAATTTAGTAATTTCATTCCTAAAAATCTATTCAGAGGGGGAAAAACCACTAAAATACAAGGAATATATATGTACAAAGATATTCATTGCATTATTATATATTGACAAACAAAAACATCTATTCCCACATCACTTTACTATTCAACCATCTTCACTAACATGACTTTACTATTTTATGACATTTTTAGAAGGTAAAAGTTGGAAATAACTCTTTCTGGATGTCTTGCAAACACACTAAAAGAAACTTCAGATTGTTCAATTTTTCCATAGATAACACCAAAGTGTTTTTTATTCTCTCTTCAAAGCCCTAGCCTCAAAACCTTTGTCTTGCCTGTCCTAGAATCAATCTTAAACTATTATACTCTGATTCTTATCCTAAGTCAAACCTTCTTATTGAAAGATCTCCCTTCAACTAGATCCCCCAAAAGACTTATAAACATCTGCAAATTTGCCCTCATCTTTCCAAGATGTTATTTATATTTGTCAAGGTGGTGGTCTCCTTTACTGAAACAAGCAATAAATTCAACTTGGCACCAGGTTATGTTGGTGGTATTTCAGGGGAGGCAGCATTTGACAATATGAAAGGAAGACTGGAAACAATATTCATACAATGTCTAATTAAAGGAAAGTTATTAAATAAAATATAGTACATTATTTCAAAGAAATAGAGAAATACAGAATAAGCAAGATATGCTTAGCTTATAATGCTAATATAAATATAATAAAATTATTTATAACTTCAACTATGGGTGCTATAATAGTATGTTAAGAAAGAAAGCAAGGAAGAAATGCAGAGAGGGAGAGAGGGGGGAAGAAAGAGAAGGAGAAAAAGAAAGAGAAATCTTCAGTGTTTGCCTTTAAATGTTGAAATACAGATGAAATTTTTTTTCTGTATTATTTTAAAACTTTCTTTAAATGAAAAAAATTTAATAATGAAAAAATTAGGAATTAAAAAAAATAACATTAGCTAAAAATGAGATTTGATCACCTTTCCCACCTTTGCATGCAAAGAGTACAATGACTACCATGGTATCTGAATAGGAAGGACACGATTCACACAATGCTGTCTCTTCAGACTATTGAAGCATCCCAGGACCATCAACAATCAAAAGTAAAAGACACTGGTCAGAGCACTAGTGGTGAAGATAAAACCTATATGGTAATTAAGGAAAATGACAGACTATTTATTTAGGTCAGGCAAGTATGCATCTTTAAATATAGTCATCACATTACCTATTGTAAAATCAGGTGGTTTCCATAATCTTCATAAATAATGGGTCCTCTCTTATTATCTCATATAGGTTCCAAGATTAAAAGAAGCTACACATCCTCCATGTGTAGCTTCTTCCCTTCCCTTCCCTCCTTCCCTTCCCTTCCCTTCCTTCCTTCCCTTCCTTCCTCCTTCTCCTTCCCTTCCTTCCTTCTTCCTTCCTTTCCCTTCCCTTCCCCTCCCTTCAGCTGCTTCCATGAAGCTTTCAGTACTGTCTACTTAACCTTCTTGCTTCTCCTTAGGAGTGGAAAGGAAAGGCCTAAAAAGAACTATGGTCCTCAAGGGACTGCATGTTCCTGAGAGCACATGGCAGGGGGCTCAGGAGCTGGAAAGAGAAGCTGGCAATCAAGGGACTGAGAACATTCTTTTAGGATAGGGAATAAGAGTGCACAGGAGCTTTTAACAGGAGTGTCCATGAGCTAGGTAATTGGACCTCCTTAAACATTTGAAAGCAATATGCACCAAGATGGGAATTTATTTTGGAGCTGTGCGTTAAATGTAACACCAATCCTGTGTTGAACCACATGGGCCTCCTTTTGCTTCCTTATTGTTACAACATACTTTAAACTCTAGTAGTCTCAAAGATTTCTTTTTTTTAAGTATGCATACTGAAAATACAAAATAGAAATGAAAAGCACCACTGGATTTTTATCTAGAATTTACATAAAGAATGGAGAGAAATCCTGCACAGAGTAGTTTGGAGAGGTAGGTTTGTTAGTAAAGAGGGGCTCCTTTATCTGGATCTACACAGCCTGGATGAAAAACCTTTCCAACCACCAAACTTGTTTTACTCTGCTTTCTATACTTACCAAGCCACATTATTTGGTTTTCCAGTTACTTTAGTACTAACAAATGGGTGTTAGGCAAGAGACACACATGATCCAGCTGATGGATCATTTGATCCATCGAGTTTCCAGTGATGAAAACATTAATCTTTTAAAATATTATTAATAAAGTGATTCTCCAGCACACACAGACACACACACAGGCCTATTATGTACTTGGCTAAAGCAAACCAGTCATTTGGAGAGCTGTGATTATTAAAGTTCCAGAACTCTGGAGAGGAGAGACCACATCCTGGCCCTGTGGAAATTTACCAGAATTTAGTGGTGGTGTGCATGGGCCAAACATCACTACAGATTTATTAAAACAAAGTATAACAAAGGAAAATTTCTCTGATGTTTTTATTATTGATTTAAAATTCAGAGAATTACTATGAAATGTTAGTCAATAATAATAACAACAAATCAAATTAACATGTAGCAAAAAGTCAGATTATTTCCTTGAAGAAATTTCATACGTTGGAAGAGGCAATGCTGGTATCTGCCAACCAAAGCACATTCTTCATACATGGAGAGCTGATCCTTTATTGGTCTCACCAGCCACTAATAATTGGAAAATAATCACATGAATTTTGATCACATTAATCACATTAGTGATAAGTCATATCAGTATTTCTAATAAGAATCCCATCAACCTGAGTCTGAAGAATATTTAGGGTTTGTTTATATATGTATGCGTGTATTCTGAATCATCCGCTTACATAACAAAATATAGCATGGACTAAACCATATAAATGACCTAACTTGAAATCATCTAAATGGGTTTTTTAAAAGACCTTGTTTCATCACTATGTCATTTCTAATACTTTGGCATAGATCTAGGAAAGTTTCATAAGGGATTCCTTGTGAAATGTTTGTGTGTTTAAAGCTCAACATGCATTAAATAAAAAGTAGGGCTGAGTTTTTTTAAAAACAAAGATTGAATTATAATAAATACAATAAGTATAAGTAAGTATAAGTATATAAATACAAATATACATACAGGAAGGCAAGTGGGCAGGTGGTTAGTACTTCAAGTCAATGCTATATTGCATCATGATTAAGATTATTCTTAGTTTGTTTCAAGGACACACCACATATTTAAAATAATTTTGTGGCTAGGAGTTTAATTTTGGTGACTAAAGTTTAAAATAACTTAAAAATATTAGAAATATCTGAAAAATGTAAGAATGCTTATTGAGTTGTTCTGGTCATGTTTAGTAGTAAAGGCAACTTTATCTCAATAGCTGCATATTGAATGTTACATTTATTAACAGCTAAAGTTACCTAAAAATAAAGTATGTATTTAGCTTCCTGTGGTGTTTCTATGCTATACTCTTTGGTTCATCAAGTCAAATAAACAATTATTAAATATCTTCTATGTTAGAGATACTATACTGCAGGAGGTAAAAAGAAATATTTAAAAAACAGTCCCAGATATTCTTAAGGAACTTCACTTTAGTTGATTTCAAATTGTAGTTATTTGATGTCAATCATATCTCAATTATTATTCTTTCAGAATAAAAGCTGGATTTTTTAAATAAAATGCATTGTCATCATTTTAGTATCAATAGTTTTTGGCCCATTGTTGAGACCGTGACATTCAAAAATGTTAAATATAAGTATTCTTGGAGAGCTTACTTTAAATATGGTAGGATTGAGATATCAGAGCTCTTCAAAAACAGAGGCATGAGTATAATTTTGAATGTAAGAATTGATAATGGTTGTGCTTGTTGTTAGTTACAAAAAGAGGGAATGCACATAAATCATTAAAAATCCATTACTACAGACTGACAACTGAAATAACCAGAATAAACCTGAATAAACACCCAGGGACAATGGCTCAGTAACATCCTTGTCATCATGTATGAAGTGCTTCAGTTTAGAGGGAGCTGAGAATCACAAGTCCAGAGAGCTTTTCAGATGACTGTGATAGCATCAATTTAAAATAAATCTCATCAGGTGTCATGGTGCATGCTTGTAGTCCTCGCTACTTGGAAGGCTGAGGCAGGAAAAACACTTGAGCCCAGGAGTTTGAGTCCAGCCTGGGCAACCTAAGGAGACCCAATCTCAAAAAATTTTTTAAATCATAAATAAGATAAAATTATTTTTATTAGATAGCATGCATATATAAGGTACAAAAATCAAAAAGTAGAGAAAGACATGCAGTGAAAAGTAAATTTCTCTTCCATCTTAGTTCTCCTTTCAGAAGAAAAGGACTACTACCAGTTTCTTACAGCTAAAACTATCTTCTTTTAGGTAATTTTTGTTCCCCAAAACTTCTTATTCTTTCTGTACTTCCATTTTAGTTTTCTACAACCTTAATCCATACACTTACTCTACATGGTGTAGTCATAAAGAGGACTATCCTACACTACAAAGTTAACCCTCTGAAATGAGATACTACACTAAGTAGGAACCTGTTAAAGCTAGCCAACTGTCAAGAAGATGATGTTAAATGGGCTTTAGATACCTTTCTTCAATATGAAAGGAAAGTTCTCACTTTTATCAAGGTGTATTTTAAGATTAGATTAGTTTACCCAACCCAATCCTTATACCAAGGGGAGTGGGATTCTCCTAATTGAGTTAGACAAGCCAGGTATGCCCTTTAGGGCTGAGATCAGCCCCAAGCCAAAACGGCTACACACTGGAACAAGGTGGAAATCCACCTGTTGAGTCAGCCTCAGTGCCAATACACCCAAAGTCTATTTGTGATATTGACACAAACTTGAAGAAGTCACAACCTATTTGATTCTTAATTTAGAAAAACAAAACAAAGTACATGAACTTCCTAAGGTTGCATGGATAAAATAAGTATATTTATCTATGCAGGGTTAAACAAAGTTCTTCTGTGGACTTAACAGAAAATTATTTAATTGTTATAAAATTACAGTAGTCCACCTTATTCCTGGGAGATACATTCTAAAACCCCCAGTGGATGCCTGAAACCTTGGATAGTACTGAACTTGATTGCTATTGATAACCTATAGGTCATTGGGAAGTTCTTATGATTCAGGTCGACATCTTGTCCCTGAGTAAAGAATCTTATCATAAATGCCTCAAATAATTTACATACTGATTAATGTATAACCTACTGACTCTGAAAAGGACATAGGCTTATTTCTGAATCATAAAGTTTGCTGATTGTCTTGCACATAGACATTTTAGCCTGTATGTTGCAATCTGTATGCAATGATTGTAACCTCTACATTGTACCCTTCAATGAAAAAGGACAACTCCAGTATGAGGAATCCCTTTTCTTTCTCTTAAACTTTCCTATAAAAGCCTTCCAACATGTAAGAGACTCCAGAGCACTCCCAACTTTGTTGGTGTGTTTTCCTGGGTTGATCCCACATTTGGCTTCCATTAAACCTTTAAAAAATTATTTCTATCCCAACAACCTTAATGTTGTTCAACACCATCAATTGGAATACATTTCTGTTCATGTCTTTCACCCATAAATTTAAGGCCTGTTCTATTAAGATATAGCATGTAGTATTAGCAATAGCACAGATGTTTTCTTATTTAACCAATGGATACTAAAGGATTTGCTAGGTTAGGGTCTGTTAAGTTACCAACAAAAGCTACTGATTGTGAAATTTCAATTATACCATTATCTTGCCAATTGAAGAAAGTAGCATTAAGAGAGGTAAGAGACTCATTATGATATGGAGTCTTGTTCTGATGCCTTGGAAAAAGCTGTTTACAGCATGAAAACATCAACTTCTGCTCCTGGTTTGTAATTTGAATGTCTGGTCATGATATCAGGTGGTTTGGTGAAGTTTTTCTGTGGCCCAAACATCAGGCACAAGGCTTGTTCTTTAAAATTCATCTAGTTCCAGCTTATAGGGATTTAGGAACATCAGCTTTTGTTTTTATTTGGAGAGTTGTAGCCAAATATTGGAGGAAATTAGGAGAATTCAAGATCTAATCCAAACTACAAATAGATAATAGGAACTTGAAAACAATGCATAGGACTACAATCTAAGAGGAGTATTGTAGTTTTTCTTGAGAAATAGCTTTTTCTCTCTACATCGATCTTATAAAAATCTTGGGTTAAAAACTTCTTGAGTCTAGAAAGCAAATCAATGCAGAATTTATATTTTACTTACAGGCTTAAGGTTCTTGGGCCTGCCAAGAATTGACAATTTTTACTCATTCCCTGTGAGGCTGGGAATTCTTGAAGCCATGCATTTTATGTATATTCTTAAATATGACATTTCAGCCAAAGTCTTGGTAATATAACCACTGTTGCCAATTATGTCCTGCATATAAAGAGAGAGAAGATTTTTATTGAACTTGTATATATAAAAATAAGAATATTCAGGAATGTTTTCCAAATTTTGGAAGAATTAAATAGGGAGATAAAGCAAATGCCTCCATCTTTGTTCACAAAAGTATATTTTACCAAATTGTTGAAAACTATGAGAAACATTTCCTTAAATCTGGAAAACAAAACATTTATGAATATATAGTATATAAAATAAAAGTAATAAAAACATTATCTTTATTAATTACTTAATTTCATGTCATTTTTTGTTGTTGTTTTGCTTGATCATGATTATCAGTTTTATGAACCTATCAGTTTCTTTATTAGAGTTCTGAAAATTTGGGGCTGTATGTGAAGGCTCATACCTATAATGCTAGCAATTTGGGAGGCAGAGGCTGGAGGATTGCTTGAGGCTAGGAGTTCAAGACCAGCCTGAACAACATAGCAAGACTCTGTCTCTACAAAAAATTTTTAAAAATTAGCCTGGTGTGGTGGTATGTGCCTGTAGTCCCACCTACTAAGGAGGCAGAGGCAGGAGATTCACTTGTGCCCAATAGTTTGAGGTTGCACTCTACCCCAGGCAACACAGTGAGACCCTGTCTCCAAAAAATCTTTTTTTAATTTAGTCCATTGATCTTAATATCATCAGAAATCTGTGTTCAAGAATACTTGTTAGAGTCCTTTCCATGAAAAATAATTTTGGACTATAGCTGATTGTAAGTACTTTTAGGGAATAATTCAATAACTACAGATGGTGAAAACTTAGAATAGCCATGGTTAACAATCTGATGAAAGTTCCCAATTGACAAGGAACTTTAGCTATTTCTAGTACATGCAGCATTTTAGGATGACAACTAGAATCATGACTGAAAGCATCACATCAGGACCATGAGACTTTTATAAATTTTATCTGATCTTTAGAATAATCACACTAACATATGCATACAATTATAAATTTAGAAAAGATTTAACATAACAACCAAAATTATGACTGATAACATATTAGATTTTTATAAATTTATATAGTTTTTGGAACATTTATATCACTAACATACCCATAAATGTAACTGAAGGATCTAGTATCACTTATCATTTGACAATGCTTCCCATACAATTTGCCAAATAAGTCTAATTATTTAATATCTCTACAAAATGACAGATACATTCTTTGAGGCTCTCCATGGGCCCAGTTGGAAAAGCCGAGGGTTAATTTTAGGTCAAAAAACTTAAGAGTTTTGAGACTGGGGAAACCTGCCAAAAATGTCAAAAGGTTTAAAACATTTGATCAAAACAGAATCACAGGTCACTGTAAAATACTATTCATTAATTTAACCAGAGTAATAATCAAGACTTCAAAAGCAATTCAGAAAATCATGTGGATGTAAACACCTTAACCCTTTTGAAGCTCAGTTTTTCTAAGTTATCAAGGACCCAATAAAGACAATACAGGGAATTATCTTGATAAAATGTAAAACCTTGGTTTTTTTGTGTAGTTACCAAAAAGGTAAAAAACTAAAAAATAAAGAAATGTCCTATAGTGTGATTGCTTCTTTTTATGGACGCCTATTTAGATAATCTGAAAGTCAAACCTGGTCAGGCGTGGTGGCTCAAGCCTGTAATCCTAGCACTCTGGGGAGGCTTAGGTGGGTGGATCCTTTGAGCTCAGGAGTTCAAGACCAGCTCTGAGCAAGAGCGAGACCCCATCTCTACTAAAAATAGAAAAAAATTAACTGGATAACTAAAAATATATAGAAAAATTAGCCAGGCATGGTGGCACGTGCCTGTAGTCCCAGCTACTCAGAGGCTGAGGCAGAAGGATTGCTTGAGCCCAGGAGTTTGAGGTTGCTGTGAGCTAGGCTGACATCATGGCACTCTAGCCTGGGCAGCAGAGTGAGACTCTGTCTCAAAAAAAAAAAAAAGAAAGAAAGAAAGAAAGTCAAATCTGATGAAAGAGTACTTGAATATAATCAGACACAGAAAGAGTGTGTCTAGGATTATGAGTATACACTGTATTATAGAGGAATGTAAACAAAAAAAAACTTAGTATGTTGAGCAGGCTACAATTACATGGCTCTTAGTAACAGCATGGGAACTTTCCTGGTTATGTGAAACAAGTTAGCCCAACAGTATACAATAAAAGCCAACAGTATACAATAAAAGTCAACAGTATACAATCAAGTTATACTAGAGGAAAATATTGCTTTTCTAGGCCTTTAAGATGAACATTTTGGTCAGGTGTGGTGGATAGTGCCTGTAATCTTAGCATTTTAGGAGTTCGAGGTGGGAGGATTGCTTGAGGCCTCAAGTTTAAGACCAGCCTGAGCAAGAACGAGACCCCATCTCTCCAAAAATAAAAGAATTAGCTGGGCAGGGTGGTCTGTGCCTGTAGTACCAGCTACTTGGGAAACTGAGGCAAGATGATTACTTAAGCCTAGGAGTTTGAGGTTGCAGTGAGCTATGATGATATCACTGCACTCTAGCCCCGGTGAAAGAGAGAGACCCTGCTCAAAAATAAAAAATAAAAAAAGAACATTTCAGTGTCAGACCAGAATAGCAGAGTTGGAACTGAGAAAAAAAAGTTACAGGAGTTGACAAAAAGGTTGAAGGAGAGAGTTATCACCCCAGTCATGCAAAAAGATATACCTTTTCAGGAGGAGAAAGAACAGAGGGCAGTGATGTTTAAGATGCAAATCACATGCAATGAGGTACAACACAAGTTGAACTTCTGAGAAGTTTCAAAGAGAAATGAAATTATCATTCTGAATGAAAAAGATAGCTTATCAACCTGAAACTAGGGAAATTAAATTTCAGGAAGGAATGTGGCAGAAATAGAAACTGTCTGCAGTTTAGATGATGAATGTTAAAGAAATAGACTCTATCTTAAAAAAAAAAGAAATAGATTTCAGAATTAAAAATCAAAACCTCTTATAGTAGAGGACCAAACTTTTTTAGTTTTGTATTAGTGTATTTTTTAATATTAAAGCTCAATCTTTAGAAAGACTTATAAATATTTAAATATTTCCTTCTATTTATAGCCAACTTGTCATACATAAAATTCTTTCCATAAATTTCCCTTTTCACAAACCTTATCACAACTTACTCAGACCATAGACAACATGCTTGGATTTTCTGCTTTGTCTTACACTTCCTCTTTCTTAAATAATCTGTCATTTTACTCTAGGACAAAAATTTACCACACAAGATTCTTCCTCATACAAAATTATTCTGTTTTCTTTTTAACTTTCCTTACCAAAAATATATCTTCATATCCATAACTTTCTTCAGTATTATTGTATCTACTTCACTGGTTTAAATAGCTGCAAAGCACTCTGTTAAAAAGAAGTTCTATGATATATTTGATCATTTCTCTGTCCTTATAATATTAATATATCTTTCTGTACTTATTTTATTATGTTTGTGCAATTGCTGGAAACACTGTGGCCCCTTTATGTAGGATGATGAGCAAGGGTTTGGTAAACTTTGAGGACATCAAAGCATCTTCTTGAAAAATACAACTTTAGAAAATAGCCAACATTTGTATTAAACTATGTTCTTCAGAAATGAAAAAAAGCAATAAGAAACTTACATATATATACACATACAGAGAGGGAGAAAGATAAAGTGATTATCTCACATGTATGTATTTACAATACAATGATATTAAAAAGAATTAACAAGGAAGCTAGTTATAAAATGAGACTTTTAACCTCATAAGGCAAAGGCGTTCAAAGTCCAAAACTCAGAGTGCTAGTTAATCCTTATATTGTTTTATATTCTGAAGACTTAAGTTTGTCAACCTGCAGAAGAGATGAAGCAGTTCAAATTGCAAAGTGAAGTTAATGAAAAATGCAAAATCCTAATCAGCTTTAGTTTGGAGTCAGCATTAGAGAACACTTTCAGAAAATTGTGTTATAAGCCATTACTACATTCATTCTGCCGTTATTAACTAGAGATAAGAAGTGAAGAATAAATAGCCAGAAAGATGAAGGCCATCAGCAGACCACAATAAATAGGGCAAATACAACAATGATGATCTAGGAAAATAGCACTTTTATGCATTGTTTCATGTTTTAAAATTTGCTTCTAGGCACACTGATTATATTACCTATCATTGCCACATGGTAATGATAATAAGAGCATGAACTTTGGAGTCTAGATGGATCTCAGCTCAAATTCCAGGTCTACAATTTTCTAGCTGAGTCACTTTGGCAAAGCTATTTAACCTTTGAGTCTCAGTTTCTACATAAAATAACAGTAGATGTTCATCAAATGTTGATTAGGAGATCTGAATAGTATACCTAGCAAACCATAATGGGAGCATAAAACAGTTATATTATTCTGAAAGTTTGGTTCTCAAACCAGCAGCATTAGTATTATCTTTGAGCTTATCAGAAACACAAATTCATGGGTCCTACCCAGACCTACTTAACCAGACGGTTTGGGATAGGGCCCAGGAAACTGTTTCATAAGCTCTTCTGTTGATTCTTATACAAGTTAAAATTTGAGAACCACTGCCTCAGAGTTCAGCTAGACATGATTTTCATGTGATCATTTCCATTAATGAACATGAAAGGATCCAGTAGTCATCTGCAGGTCCAATTTATCCATTACACACAGAAGGCACATTGCCCAGGGCGAAAGATACTTCTAAAACTTGTGAAAATCTTTTCATGTTATTTCTTTTAAAATCAGAAGAAAGGCCAGGCATGGTGGCTCATGCCTATAATCCCAGCACTTTGGGAGGCTGACGTGGGAAGATCATTTGACCCCAGGAGCTCAAAGTTACAGTGAGCTATAATTGAGCTCCTGCCCTCCAGCTTGAGCAACAGAGCAAGACCCTGCCTCTAAAATAAAATAAAATAAAATCAGAAGAAAAAAATGAACACAGTCATAATAATAAATACATAACAATGAATACAGTCTGGATTACATTTTGTCTTTATACCAAAGCAATTGTAAAATTAACTAACTTAAAAATTAAAACTATTACTTTAC